GTTGTTTTTAATATTTCACTCTAAAGATTTTAGGTGGATGTGTCTCTCTTTTAGGTCGTCACTCTCCTCAATGACCTCTACACCTGCTTTGATGCCATTATAGATAATTTTGATGTTTACAAGGTATTGCCACCTCATACCTGACCGCATATTTGCCCTAGACAGCTGTATAAAGTGTATCTTTTGCAAACAAATAATATTTATTCCTCATTTCATTTTTTTTCTGTTTGGAGTTAACAGTTTTAACTTTACAAACTTACTAAACCTTAAGAAAACATGAAAAAATCTTATATTTTTGATAATTGTAAGAGGGCTTTATTTAATTATTTTTGCATTAGAATTTTATGAGACATTTTAACTTAAAGGGACATGATCCATGAAGTATTGATTAAAAAAGTAATTAAAAAAAGAATGATCAATATGTTAATAAATCTTGAATGAAAACTAATAGAAAAATTTGTATTTTCATATCCCTTAATGGGTATTTTTGCTTTTAGTGAAATTTCATATTGCAAAAAGTGTCATTAAAATACAATTAAGACCTATTCACCTCTAGTAACTCTCTTTAAAACATTCACTGTATTTAATACGAAACCAAAATCTTCTTTGTTTGTGCCGAGAAGAATCATTACCTCATGCTATGGTGGTTTTGTTTCTTATTGGCTCAGGTGGAGACAATAGGTGATGCCTACATGGTGGTTTCAGGATTGCCGGTACGGAACGGGAAACTGCACGGTCGTGAGATTGCACGCATGTCCCTTGCTCTATTGGAGGCTGTCAAAACATTTAAGATTCGCCACCGACCTGATGAGCAGCTCAAATTACGAATCGGCATTCACAGTGGTAAGAATGATAGCTTCAAAGCTTACTTAAGTTGAACTAGACTTTAACATACTGATGGCAGAAACTGACAGAGATTCGTAATGAGCTTTGTTAATCTATACTCTCCTCCATACAGACGTACTTTTCAAACTCTCCCATAGAATAGAACAATTTTTATATTTATATTTTTCAATTATATTTGCATGCATCATTTTGAATAGCATTTCCCATGTGTGTTTCAGGTCCTGTGTGTGCAGGCGTAGTTGGACTGAAGATGCCTCGGTACTGTCTTTTTGGAGATACAGTGAACACATCTTCTCGTATGGAGTCGAATGGAGAACGTAAGAACCCACTGTTCCCAATCCCACCAAATAGTAACTTGTGCTTATAACCATAGAGACTGTAAAGGTCAAGAGTTCAGGTCCGTTTTTAAAGGGTTAGTGGTTTGAGCAAGATTCTATACTAGGGTATAAGTTAAGGTTTAAGACCAGGTTTCATTTCTATTAGAGATTTGGGATAGAAAAGAAAAATTTCAATCAATTTATTGATTTTTTTAAAAATGTTATTCCTAAATTATCTTTTTTGAACATCTGCTTCAATATTTGAGCACAGAGCTGCTTCTTCAGATGTTGCATTATCAACACCAGTTTTCCATAAATTTACAATCATTCACGAAGCAAAAAATAAATTTGAAAAGATTCCATTGTAATTCAGATTTAATTATTTCCCCCACCACCTATTTCCCCATATAATTGCTGCCAGATAAATGAGAACTATCAGTGTTAGATAACACTTGACAAAAGCAAAACAAATTGCAATCAGGAAAGGAATGAATTGTAAGCGTTTCTAATTTATTTCTCACAGGAGAAGATTAACATATACAGTACTGTGCAAAAGTCTTAGGCCATTAGTATTTTGACCAACAAAAAATGATTTTAAGCCAGTCATTTCTATCTCTTGCTGTAGTGTGTCAGTAGGAAATATCAGTTTA